GGGGATGGCCAACATCCTATCAGGTACTCCTATCGGTCACCTTATCAAGGATTCTAGTACACCCCTCGGCACTTCTTGGGGAGGTATTCATTTCTCTGGGTGATGTTCATTTTCTTATTTTTATTTTTTTAGAGAGTTATACCCTTTTGAGCAATTACTTAGTGCGCCTACAATTTCGTTTCGCTGTGCAGCATGCCTGGGAGGATTTTAATACCTTCACTTGGGATGCACCGGAGAGCTAGGCCAGGAAGCGTCATCTGTTATGCGTTTACGAATACCAAATGCGCGTAATATCCCGGCCATGCATCACGCCTTGGAGAGTGACGCTGATATTCCCAAGATTGCCGCAATATCGTATATTAAGGAGAAAACGGCCGACCCTTGTACGACAGCAGGGAAATCGTAATCGTAGGTAAAGGACTGTCTGTCGCTTTTACGCGACGTTAAACGTAATGACGTAGAACATTGTTGAGAGAAAAAAAAAATCGTAAAGACAAACGTAATAACGTAGAACATTGTCGAGAAAAAGAAATCCTAGACCTTAAACGTAATGACGTTTAGAACATTGTTGAAAAAAAAAAATCGTAAAGACAAACGTAATAACGTAGAACATTGTTGAAAAAAAAAATCGTAAAGACAAACGTAATAACGTAGAACATTGTCGAAAAAAGAAATCGTAAGGACGTTAAACGTAATTGTCGAAAGAAAAAAAAAAGAACAATCAGCCAGTCGTAATCCATTTACATGTACCACCATGGCCCATGTTGCAATAAATGGGAAGTCACTTTTTAATCGATAAGGTACGCTTTATTGAAATTGTTATTAAATGTTAGATCTTGCCGTAAAAGGGGAAGAAATGGAAAATGTTAGAGTTTATCTTGTGCGACTAAAAAAAGAGAGGGTCATGCCTTAAAGGAAGTGGTACCGTTTCAGGATCTCCCGTTCCTGGACAGAGGAAATCAAAGTGTCCGTCGATACTTGTATAGTGCCTTTTTGTGTAGTAAGGAATTATCTCGAGCAAGTGTCAGATAAAAGCCGAATGATAACGGGGAACGGTACATGTCGTGTGCACGGGTACACTGGACCGTTAACTCTTTAAAGCCCGCGCATCTTTAAACAGGTGGCAACATTCACTGAATTAGGTACAAAAGACCTCTAGAAGTCTGCACGCCGAGAAAAAATGGCCGAAGAGGTTGCCGACCGTCCCCAGGAACAATCTCACGTGGAGACATAATAAAAAAAATAAAAAAAAATGAGGAAAAGAAGACGGAAGAAGCGCGCACCTTATCACGAGGTCCAGTCAAAAAAGGAAATACACAAAGACCCGCTATCACTAAGCAATAAGATATAAACAAGGAACAACACACTGAATAATGTTGAAAGATCAATGCAAAAGCTTCACCTTGCATTTATTGTACTTAATTAAAGTCGGCAGTAATTTAACGTTCAATTTAATCGACCCCAGTCACTGAACGATTGTTATATATCGATGTCAATATGACATTCGTAATAAAGCCTTTATTATTTACTTATTAATTTTTTTTTTCTTTATCGGCGGTATTAATAAGTCCAATGCAATTATTTCCGTGTCGATCGCTCGCTCCGCAGAGAAGAATTGATAAAATGGTGAGTTGGATAAACCTGATAAAAAGGTCGGCGGCAGCCATTATCAGACATACGCGGACGGTCCGATAAGAATTCATTCCTCGTCCTCCAGCTCGTCGGTCGAAGTGCGCGACCGAGTAAGGAAGTAAGTACAATACCGGACAAGGTTACCGACCGGTGCGTCCCTGTCGAGGATACCAGGACAAAGGAGGGAAGAAAGGCCGAGAGTGGGGAGACGGCGCGCGAGCGAAAGAGAAAGAGAAAGCAGGAGAGGGGCGAAAAGGCGTTAAGTCGGATCGCGACCCCAAGGACCAGGGCCGAAGGGGTTAAAATGCAAATGGCGCCGATCTCGGAGTTTCCGCGGGAGTACAAGTGGGGTAATAACCGTATGAAAGGGTAACAATGCGGCCCGACATACCGCAGCCGGGCGGAAGAAAGAACACCGAGGGGTAGGGGGCAATAAATATATTTTGACATGGGAGAGCCCACGACGGCCGCTCTCTTGGCCGCGGGCCTCGAATAATAATTGCAACTCTCTCTCTCTTACCGTGGTGTCACTTTACGCGCCCTTTGTCGGGACCCGCGAGGCCCGAATTACGATGTCGCCCGTGTTGGGCCAAATATTGTAACAACAGCTGAGGGGAGATGGGTTATGTTTTCATTTGCGGCGGGGAAGCGGAAACGCTCGCGAGTGCCCCAACCTATGGGTCTCTCTCACTTTCTCATTCATTTTCAGACCCCCCCGAAAGGCGCTAAGTCGACCCATTGTCACGAATTTCATACACCGATAAGAAAATATTAACATACTCAATCATTGGTTACTTCTAAGTCACAATAAATTCTGGTAAAATTACCATTTCTATGTAATATATCGCGTTCAGAATAAAAATTAACGAAAATTACAACGGAATATTGCGTCAATTAGATATCAAATCGATGCACCGGCACGAGGTCACGTAAATCCAGGGACATGGATAAAAATTTCCATAACCACCGAAACCGTAAGAAACAATCATTAGTTCCCCCCTCGGAGACTTCAATGCGCGCAAGAAGAGTCGGAGTTCACTCAATCATTGGTTATTCCTAAGCCCCAATAAATTCTGCTACAATTACCATTTCTATGTAATATATCGCGTTCAGAATAAAAATTAACGAAAATTACAACGTAATATTGCGTCAATGAAATGTCAAATCGATGCACCGGCACGAGGTCATGGGTAAAAATTTGCATAACCACCGAAGCCGTAAGAAACAATCATTAGTTCCCCCCTCGGAGACTTCAATGCGCGCAAGAAGAGTCGGAGTTCCCGCGGTCCATCGTGAGACTCGTAGATGAATTAAATCAAGACGAGGAGGGGGGGAGGGCAGTTACCGATAACTTTTTCGAGATGGAAGTGGACCGGCGGTAATTAGAGAGGAGACTCGAATTTTTCTTTCTTTTTTTTTTTTCATGGCGTGACGTCAGAGGCTATAACAAACCCGAAGGACCACTTAAAGGGCCCTTTGCGCAATCCGGGAGGACTTGGGGGGCATGAAGGGGGGCATGGGGGGGGGCGGTCCTTGGCAAAGCATTAGTAGCGTAATCGCGGTGATTGATTCGCCCGGGTCTCGGGTTTAAAGTCTCGCGTCCTCCGGTTGCGCAAGTGCCATTAATCAGCACCCGAGCGATATTCCTACCCTCTCTAATCCAAATGATTAAGGTCATGTCTCACCTTTGCATTTAAATAAATGAAATTGTACCCGGGGTATAATTACGGACTCACGCGCGGGGAATACATCGGCTTTATCCCTTAATATAAATCAAGAATACGAGCGTTTCCCCCTCGTCGGAGATACGGCGATAAAAATGACTCATCCCGGGATCTATTTCATCTCGGCTCGCTTTCCCGAGACCCTCCGCGTCTCGTGTGAGACCTCCTATGCCCTCCACTCTTTGCTCCGTACATTGAACCGACGTTCACTGAAATAAGTCCAAATCCTCCGCGTCCCGAATTGCCGCGCTGAGAAAAAATGAGGCACTTGAAAGGAAATAAATGTGCAAGTGAGATTTTCAATGGTTGAAATAATCATTACTTTACGGGAATTAAAAGTGAAGTACTTTCAACTAAACGAAAGATGTAGTAATAAATAAAAGCCTATTAGGTTTGTATATGGCTAAAATTTATTCGCCTCCAGTTGAACATTTTTCTCAGAGCGATCGGCGTCGCGTTTAAATCGTTGCAAAGGTGAGACGAAGTTAAAAGGAAAAATTGAGAACTCGATGCATCTAAATGGATTGTTAAACGTTATGGTTGAATGTCTGCTCGAGTGCGATGTACCTTAAGGGAGCACTTTTTATTGGGGAAACCATGCTGGAAACGATAATTCGACTTTTTGTAGGTATTCGTAGATTGTTAGGGATATCCTGGGAGCACGCCGCGAGGTAAAATCTTAATTTACTTTCTAGGCACGGTTTAATCTCGAATTAACGCGTATTCTGAATTAAGGGACACGGTGGATGGCGACACGCGTCGCGTCAGATCGCGGAGACTTCGACGCCCGGTCGCACGTGCGTCGCCCCACCCGAGTCGCCGCCATGAACGGAGGATACAAATGCCCCGATCGCTCTTTTTCATATTTTCTAATAAAGAATAAAAAAGGAAAATAAATAAAATGCAAAGAAGGGAGGATCAAGAGCGATGCCCGAGAGACGTATCGCTTCTCACGGTCGATTATTCCGAATTCTTATATTTTCTAATAAAGAATAAAAAGAAATGAATAAAATGCAAAGAAGGGAGGATAAAGAGCAATTATCGAAAGACGTATCGCTTCTCACGGTCGATTATTCCGAATTCTTATACTTTCTAATAAAGAATAAAAAGAAATAAATAAAATGCAAAGGGAGGATCAAGAGCGATGGTCGAGAGACGTATCGCTTCTCACGGTCGATTATTCCGAATTCNCCATTACCCCACGAGTGCCCGAGAACAAATGTTTAACTCTTCTAAAATAAAATTCCCTCCAACTTGTAATTTTTTGTTTCTATCAGAAAATTTCATCCGTGATTATCAGTGATTACAATTACGATGGTACCAAAAATCATCTACAGCTGCATAAATACCAAGAGCGATGGTCGATAGACATATCTCTTCTCACGGTCGATTATTCCAAATTTTGATATTTTCAAATAAAGAATAAAAAATAAATAAAATGCAAAGAGAGGATCAAGAGCGATGGTCGATAGAGATATCTCTTCTCACGTTCGATTATTCCAAATCAAAGGGAAATAGATAAAAAAGGATCGTCCCCGTTCTCCGTCCCTCAAACTGACTGCCGGTCGATTCGGAGTTCTAGATCGATATCCTAAATCCATAGATCCTGCCACGGGGTAGCAGGTCGCAGGTCGCAGGTCTCACCTTTGCCGGGGCGAGATGAAGTCCTGGTTGGTGCCGGCGCGGTCCAGAGAGGTGCCGACAGGTCCTAGGAGGTCCTTGGATCTCGACGAGGCCCCTTGGTCCTAGCTGGCCGATGGACAGCGATCCCAGGAACGAGGTCCCCGTCAGTATTACATGGCACGCACCGAGGAACGCGATCACGAATCCCGGAAGTCAACTTTAACTCGGTTCCTTGGGGGTGGAGGTGGGTGGAGTGTCCGGAGTGCCCCAAAGTCGGGGTCGAAGGGTCCCAGGGGGGCTCAGGATCCGCGGCCCGACGACCCACGAATCCGACGAACCTCGACGATCCGTCAGCCGGGCCTTCCGTCGGGCTTCCTCCGCGGCGGCTCACTTCCGGTTCGCCGCGCGGGGCAACCTGCCCCCGTAGCTCGGTTCTGCGGCTGCGCAGACGTTAACTCCTGCGGCCGAGCAGGTGTCGCTAATCGATTGGCTGCTCGATCGGCCGGCCTTTCCACGCGAAGCACGATGCAGCCGCGTCGATGGACGGGAGAGGACTGCCGCTTCGCGATCCGCGACCTGTTCGACTGCCGAAGGTGCCCGACCGATCCGATTTTACCTGGGCAGGGGTAACCTGCCCGCCCCTGTTCACGCCTGCCGATGGGCCCGCCAATGGCACACAGGCCGACGGGACCCGGGACCAATCCCCGGGTCCAGGTTCCCCGAGACCGGTCCCCGGCCCTCCCATCTCTCGTTCTCGGCCCCCCCAGTCCCGGTCGGCAGGGGGACCCAGGGTATGGACCCCGGCTCGTGCCCAGGTGAGCTCCGAGACGCCGACCGGACCCCTGAAACCGATCGCGCCAATCCGTCGCTCGTTTGCCCGGGATTTAATCGCCGTTCTTTCGGGATATTTAGGATCCTACTTTTAAGAGACAACGCCGGGACTATAATGGAAACTTTGGATATTGCCGTTTGTTGCGCGGAAGACGCAGGGACGTTTGCGGAAGCGTGGAAGCATTCGACTCTGCGTTTCAAGTCGGTGGATGTTTAGTCACGGTATTTCCTCACGTCGTGCACTTTTTGACGTTTAGGGTGTACTTTTAGGAGATGTAATGTTAGGTAAATAATGGAAACTATGGCTGGCCTCTGGATATTGGCGTTCGTTGTACTGAGGACGAAGAACCCTCGTGACCGCAAGTCTTGGACTTTACATTTGATGTTGTTATATTTAGTGACAAACGTCGTACACTTTTTGACGTTTAGGATGTACTTTTAGGAGATGTAATGTTAGGTAAATAATGGAAGCTATGGCTGGCCTCTGGATATTGGCGTTCGTTGTACTGAGGACGAAGAACACTCGTGACCGCAAGTCTTGGACTTTACATTTGATGTTATTATATTTATTAACAAACGTCGGGCATTCTTTGACGTTTAGGATCTTCTCTTAGGAGATAACACCGGTTAAATAAGGGAACGGCGTATAGTCTCCATATGTTACCGTTCGTGGTGCCAAGGACGAAGGACGCTTCTCTGCGCCCGACATTTTGGACTCTACATTTGAAGTCATTATATTTATTGACGAATGTCGAGCATTCTACGGGTCCCTTTTTCAGTATTTACCTGAGTACTTTACCTGCTCCGAATGTCCGAATAGGAGACAGACGCGAAGAAAGCGAGTAGCTTAGGAGCGGTCTTAAAACGATGAACGATGGGACTTTCTCGACGCCAGAAAGTTTAAACATCGTCCCGAATGTTCCTCAAAATGAGGAAAAAAGATGCTAATGAATTATATCCAGGTGTGAAGAGGGTCTTGATTTAATATTCCTTCGGGAAATCGAGATTCGGTGAAGTAATTCGGGCACGGCAGGACATCGGAGCGACCCGCCGGATCTCCGACGGAGACTTCAATGCCGGCAATACCGACCGAATTAACTGTACAGCAAGTACGGAGTCATTGTCGGGCGTACTTACCACTACCGTTTGGTCAACCAGCCTTTATGGGGATTTTCTACCCCCTGAATCGTTGGCATAATTTATTGAAACTTCATTGAAACCGGACGTACGATTATTGCGCGCCCCCGCAGGGCCGCCACAAAGGGCCACTTCAGAGAATGCTCCAGTTTCGTGGCACCAAGGGGCCTAATTGCCATTGTTAAGAGACGCCACGAGCGGAGTTCGCAATTGTCAACCGAACAACACCGAGAATCGCTTCCTTGAAGGAAGGTGTCACAATTTCGAGTTACGAGCCCACTCCCGGAAGAGTCCTCGAAGTCCCGAATCGTAAACTTCGACTTTAATATCGAGTATTCCAGTATTTCACGAGATGACGCTTTCGCATTGTGTAATTTTCATTATTCTTCGATAATTATAGATATAATTAATTAATATACTATATACTAATAATAATAAAATAATATAATACATAATTCACGGGATAACCCATTCTAATGTTCGTTCAAAATGGCTCCGTATCCCTGCTTCGTCCTCTCGCAGGGAAAAGAATTTAATTCCTGTTATCAGGGGGCAGTTAAGGTATCGCGGCTATGTAAATGACAAGAATGATAAGGCTACCCACATCGAGTGATAATTCTTTCCTACCTTTTATCGTAAATTCTAACTTCTCGAGTGATATTAAAGGACAACGTGCCCGTAATGTCGGGGTTAATAACTGTCGGTCACATTGCGAGATATGAATTTCGCAAAGTGCCTAAGCACCGACCTTACCGATCGTTAATTCCACGGGAATTAATTACTCATCCTTCGATGACTAATTTCCCAATCGGCCGTGTCCCAGAAATCAGGAGGAATTCCGTCCTCGGGTTCGTCATTTGACTTATTTTAAGCGGTTCTCCTTAATCGAGGGAATTTATCGGACCGTTTCCTGCGAGATGGACGCCATTAAAGCGCTCGTTTTACGAGCCAATTATCGGACGAGTTGTCACACAGCGTGCGCTAATTACGAGGGAGAGAGTAAGTCGGATGCGCGGGATCTTGAGAGGGAGAAAAAGAAAAAATGAAGAGGAAGAAAAGAAAAGGAAAGAAAAAGGGGCTTGCGAAATGCCGGGGCGATTAGAGGGGGGATTTATTTATTCCAGAGGAACCGGTCCCGTTTTCTCCTCTCCCCGGTGGGCCGGAGAGATCTTCCCGAATGGTCCCGAAAATGCCCGGGGAAATTAGGATTAGGAACTGGAGGATGCGATAAAAATACGGTGGCCCGAGGATTCCAGGACAGCGGGGGGAGGGGACCACGCGATAAATTAGACGAAGACGTCCCACCTGTAGAAATTAACCGAGGGAAACTGGTTTCGGGATGAGGAACCCTCGGGAGCTCCGGCTCCTCCACCTTCTCCTACGTGGTTCCTCGCATTTGGATTTGCGCCTTCCTTTCCGATCTCTCACGCTCGTCTCGCTCCTTTTCTCCCCCTTTATCGGCCCCCCTCTCGCCCGATTCTATTCGTCATTACCTCGCCTCCACCCTTCTGGGTGAATGGCACCGACGAGGAAGCTTTGACCTCGGCCTTATCCGACAGAATTCACGAAATTCCAAGGCGAAACCCAGAAGCCGGGAACGGGTCGAGGTGCGATCTCTCGTACGGGGAGAAAGGAGAGACCGGGACCGTCGTCTACGTTTCTCGACCTTCCTGGTATCGGCTTTAGTTAACCAAGTTAAACCTATACGTTGGGTATGAGTTCCTCGGATAAAGTTAAGCCTACACGTTGGGTATTAATTTTTCGGATAAAGTTAAGCGTATACGTTGGGTATTAATTCTTCGGATAAAATTAAATCTATACGTTGGGTATTAATTCTTCGGATAAAGTTAAACCTATACGTTGTGTATTCATTTCTTGGATATAGTTAAACCTATACGTTGGGTATTAATTCCTCAGATAAAGTTAAACTTATACGTTGTGTATTAATTTTTTGGATAAAGTTAAATCTATACGTTGTGTATTAATTCTTCGGATAAAGTTAAACCTATACGTTGAATATTAATTCCTCGGATAAAGTTAAACCTATACGTTGTGTATTAATTTAGTTCACTCTGAGAAGATGAACATTTGATTACAATGTCAATCTCGGATATATGTAATTCCATCTTTTCGTGAACAATTTCGCTGCTAAACCAATAGAAATCCTATCGGAGGAATAATCGCCTTAACTACTTAACGACGTAAAATATAAACATTCCATATTAATTCCTCAAACAAGCGACATACAAAACCAAGTTCCCTATCAAATCCCTCTGAGAAGATGATAACATATAAAAAGAAAATGGCAATCCCGGATATATTTAATTCCACCTTTTGGTGAGCAATTTCGCCGCTTGAGAAGCTTAACAAATAATTGAAAAATCGAGTCGATTTAAAAAAACCTCCAGCAATTTCCCCTAGCGAATAGATAGCCTGCATAGAAAATCTGTCCAAGAGGAGAACCATAAACTATGCGGCTCTAAACCAATAGAAATCCTATCGGAGGAACAATCGCCTCATATAAAAAGAAAATGGCAATCCCGGATATATTAATTCCACCTTTTGGTGATCAATTTCGCCGCTTGCGGAGGTCAAGAAATGATTTAAAAATCGAGTCGATTAAAAAAAACCTCTAGCAATTTCCCCTAGCGAATAGATAGCCTGCATAGAAAATCTATCCAAGAGGAGAACCATAAACTATGCGGCTCTAAACCAATAGAAATCCTATCGGAGGAATAATATGGACCGCGGCGGCGACCCTCCGACGCGCGCGGTATGTCAGGCGAATCTAAGATCTCACTTGCGCGGGCATTCCAATAAACCGCGGTACCTTATCCCCGGTCACCCGCGAGATTTAATCGAGCCCCACGCGGCCGATTAATCCCCGGAATTAACGGGTAGGAAATTTCCTAGGAATCCATCGGGGGAGGGGAAGCCCTGGAAGGCGTCCCGCGTTCCAGAGGGGGACGCCGCCGGTCGTTCCTCCGCATGAGAAAATAAAAAAGGGAAAAAGAAAAAGGACATTCGCGCTCCCAGCAAAGGCATTGCCGATCAAATTCTGCTCCTGGGACAATAATTGCACCAACGATAGAAATCTTCGCAATAGTCTCTACGTTCGGAGCACTCTCGAATATGGAGACTTCAATGCCACGGATGAAAACAGAACAAACGTGTAGGTACCACGTTTCGATAAAGTGTACTGACAAGTTCCGGAGGAAATGGGATGATTTTCCTGCGTCGAGCAGGTGGAATTTCTTCGGCATGATTTTCTTTTTTTATTTCCGCAGGGATTTTTCATTTATTGGGGTTATCTCCGATGAAAGGAAGCCCGCGTAAATCCGGCGATGTATGGGCAACAGGAGGAGGCACGCCGGTCAATTGGCTGTGCATAATCCGGATGTAGTTCCATGGCGCGATCCAAAAGCACCCCAATGCACCAGGGCGGTCATGCAGAAGCGCATCCACCGGCAGATGGGACGCAGCCTCATAGTGCGGACTCGATTCCACCCGAAGATGAACTCATTCTTCCGCTCGGCGAGGGAAGGTGTCGCGTGTTCAGCGACTCGTGAACC